GAAAATACAGGGGACAAAGAAGAAGACAACCACTGTGATGTGGGAGCTACAGGTGGAGAGAGCTTTCCGCCTCCCTTCTTGACTCAGGTTCTTCAGAGAGTGGAAGATGACAGCATAAGACACAAGTAAGAGCAGAAACACAATAGAGCACATCAGTCCCCCACTGGCGATCACTAAGAGGCCAGTGACATAGGTGTCAACACAGACAAGTTGCAATAAGGGATACATGTCACACATAAAGTGGTCAATGACATTGGGGCCACAGAATGGGAGCCCATAAATAGTGCCAAGCTGAATTACTGAATGCAGAAAACCTCCAACCCAGGAAACTACCAGCAGCACCACACACACCCATGGCTTCATGATAATCAAATAATGCAAAGGCTTACAGATGGCCACATAAAGATCATAAGCCATCACCAAAAAAAGACAAATCTCTGACCCACCTACAAGGTGTTCTGCAAAAAGCAGTAACATGCAAAACTTGAAAGATATGATAACTTCTCCTAAGAACAAATTTGAAATCAATTTTGGGGAAATGATTGATGAATAAATGATATCCAAAAATGATAAGTTAGCAAGAAAGAAGTACAATGGAGAGTCCAGGGTCCTCCTGAAGGTTACAGTTAGGACAATGAGCAGGTTCCCCAGCATGGTCAAAATGTAAAAGAACAGGAATATAACAAAAAGTACTTTCTGTTCCTTTGGATTTTGTGTGAGGCCCAAGAGGACAAAGTAAGTTACATTGTTCCTATGTTCCATCTGTTCTTTCATTGATGCAGATTTCAGAGAATAAAGTAGTTTACCTGTAAAACAATGAAAAAATCCTCAGACACATCATAGAACTTTTATTCATCTGCCATATATGTTTTAAGGCTCTACTAGTGTCAGACTACCTGTAGTAGATATCTGGATTACCAAGTAACACAAAACAAGGTTTACTTATCTAAGTGATTTGATATGTAACTATGTGATTAAAATTTTAAAGATCAAATTTAGAAATGTTCTGATAGAATATTTATTGATTCCATGCTATAGATTCACAGTGCTTCAATTCTAAACCTGTTGAGATTTGGAAAATTGTTTCAGAGAAAGTTACTATTCAGATGTGTTTTAAAATGTGAAATTATTAGAAGGATCAAAAGTTGCATTATGTATAAAAGTTATAGAGTGTAATACTGATAATAATACTAATAATTTTCATATGAAGAATGGATAAAATCAATTACTAATGGAAGACTATAAACCACCATCACTGTATCAATATTGGTACTGAGACTTTAGAAAATGATGCCCTTCCTACAATTTCTTTGGCCCTCAGGTCTACTGGAAATGTCACCCCTAAGTATCTTTCCATTCATATTTCCAGGAACATTGTGCTCACAGTGATGTCTCTGTTCTCCAAAGGACATCCCATCTCCACTACTCTCCTCTTTCCTTGTTGAGCCCTCACCAGCATCACCTTTCTGTGTTCACATTTCTACCCACCTACTCTTCCAGGCCATCTGGGCTCTTTCTTTGATGATTCTCAAACATCTCCCAACGTGTATCCATTAATCACACAAAGCTGTTTTTTTTTTTTATAGTGACAATTTATTGCAGGAGCACCCACTTCCTGGCACCAAAAGCTACCTTTATCTGCTAGAGCTACTGTTTTATTGAAGATGAATATGTTGTCTCAGAGCCCTGCTGCTAGACATTCAAAATAAAGGTATGGGCAGAGGTGGATCCCTCAGAAGACCATGAGGGAAAGTCCAGCTCTGTCCTTGACTTGAAGATGTCCAGCTTGTGTTCATGTGTCATTCTCCCTGCATTCAAATTTTCTCTTCCAATAGAATACCAGTTACACGGGACTGAAACACTACCTAATACAATTTTATAACTGATGACCTTTATAAACTCCCTATTTCCAAACAAAACTGTGGTACTTTAAGTAGGTAGGACCTCAACATATAAATTATATGGTAGGACAAAATAAAACCATAATAATTTCATATGAGAAACTGAAAAAAACAGTAATTACCACATTCTCAGCTTGCCAAATCCCTGATATCTGGAGTCTTTGGTTGAATATTCCATGTTATCCTAACCTATAAATACCTAAAACACTTTGTAAATCTTCAACATTATCACATCTCCTAGTTTTCAAGCTGGTATCTGCAACTATTTAATTGACATCTTCACTTAGATATCCTTTTAGTATTTATAAAAGTAAATATTTTATTTTTCACAATAATTCTGGATTTTCTCTAGATTAAATTCTAGATTTTGCTAATTAGAGGGTACTTCTTTCTGTCTTATCCTTCAGGTCAAATTCTGACAGTGTTCAACCTTCCTTTATTCTTCTTACATTGCTTATTTATACATTCATTAAGTCCTCTTGGCTTTGTATTTATAACATCTTCTAAATGTGATCATTCTCATTCCATCCCCTTACATCCCCTGTCAACTGCCAGAGCCGCCTGCCACATCTACCATTTGCTCTTGGACAGATGCTAATCTCAGAGACCAGAAGCAGACATCACAAATTTGGAAGTAAGAGTGATTCTTGTACAAAAGTGTGTGATACATTCAGTCTTTTCATTTTTCCAACCAACAAGTGTTCATAGAAAGCTATATCCAGTCACACTGTTCACATGAGGTGAACTTCCAGCCATCACTGAGTGTCCACTAGCTCATTAAGGCTCATGGTCTACACTAGATTCATGTCATTACAGGAAAGAAATGTCCATGCTGAATGAGGAATCAGCTTTTTGCCTTGGGCCTTCTACTTTCCCAGCTAGAAAAAAAGTATTGAAAATATAACATGGCTTCTAACATAAATTTTCATTTTTTTGAATATACTTGTGGTGATGTTATACAATCTGAATAGCCACCTTCTGCCTCTAGAAGTTTTTATCCACATTTTCTTACATACTCAAGAGATATATTTCCTGTGTAATGAAATATTCACACAATCTCCAAGTCTGATTTCTGCTACTCACTATAAAGTTTTACCTTTGGGAGTTTGTCTACAATTTGAAGGAGGAAATTTTGTCTCACTCAGAAATATTGAGTAGTCGCTCTTCCATCCAGCATGAACACAGAAAAAAAAAAAGCTTTCTTATTCTTGGAAAATATATTTAAAATCACACAATCATGTTTATCCATTTTCTCTCGAGTGAAAATAATGAGTGATTGTGGTAGTATTCAAAGGAATTAAATTAAAATTTTCATATTGAGATGCTTAACTAAAAATGCAAACAAATAATTTCAACATATGAATATCATATCTAGCATTAAAAAAGTTTTCTAGGTCTTTTCTGGTAACTTTAATAAATACCATTCAGCTTTTTAATCTGTTTCCTCTTGTCCTGGTAAGGCCAAACACTTGTGCTTCATATATGGATGGAGTATTCTTGAGCCTTTTCAAATGCTTAAGAATAATGAACCATGTTTTTTTTTTTAATATAACTGTTACTAAGAGAATGTTGCTTTCACCTGGCAGGGACAAAGATCACTAAAGATATTATACCATAAACACGTTAATTATGAATCCCTGAAACTGGAACATGTCCAAGCTGATCCTTGCTTAATTACACTCCCTGGGGATCTCCATATACTCTTAAAAGAACATTTATGTCTCAAGATGCAATACAGAAAACACATAACTAGAGTAACAAGGATATAACCAAGAAAAACAGTTTCAGAAACATTATGGCACAGATAATGAAGAATAAAATATCAGCCCCATGAGTTTATTTCAATGAGATTGAGTTTATCACTTATTCCTTTTCTGTGCCAGAGCAAAATTTTCATTTTCTCTTTATAGAATCTTCATTTTTCTCCCTATAAGTTTGAGATTAAATGTATTTAAAAAGATTTATGCAGCTGTAGTAACTAGTTATTTATATACTTATTCTATTTATTCTTTGTTTTTCTACAAAATTAAATAGCATCTATTTGACTATTTGTTTTCAGATAACATCACATTAGATGATTATAAAATAGTTAATAAAACATAAGAAAGAATACAAATGTAATCTTAATTGCATCAGCTTTACATCTTCTAGTAGAGCCACAAAACAATAGTAACTAAAAATAGGAGCTTCAGTCTCTGATTGGATAATAGATTATTGTGACAGAAAAAAAGTGAATGACACAATTTTGAATAAAGTGATTGGATAAGGCCTTTTTAAATGTGATATTTAAACTAAAGTCCAAGGATGAGAAGTAAGTTGCCCCTCTGGGCACGTGGTCACATGTGGGAAGATGCAATGTGGAAGAGAGCTGGGTGATTTCAAGATGCTGTGCTGTCATCGAACCTGAAGGGAGGTAGACAGGGAAAGAACAGAACAATGTGAAGTTTTTAAGATATGAGCAAGAACCAAAGCCTGGAGTGACATCACAGATCTTATTAGGGAATTTGGATTACTTTTAAAGCTCTTTTCAAATGAGAGTAAAGAGGACTTCCTGTTAGTTCAGCAAATATTCTCAACAATTAGCAAACCAAATCCAGCAAAGTGGAAGAAGAATTGCACATCACGACTAACTGAAATTATTTCAGATAAACAAGCCAGGTTCAACATTCAAAAATCAATTAACCTATTACATCATAACATAGGATAAAAAAGAAAAATCACAGGATTATATCAATATTTATAGAAAAGATATTTAATAAAATTCTACACACCTTCACTATAAGGACATTCTGTAAACTATGGATAGAAAAAAAGTTTCCAAAGTTCAAAAAAGAGCATTTTCAAAGCAAAGAAAAACTGACATCATCTTTAATAGTGAGAGTCTAGGAGCTTTCCTGGTGAGGTTAATTTTTGTCAGCTTTTGTGTTGCTATAACCAAACCTATGTCTTCCTGTCACATCCTACCTGCCTACAGCTATTGCCCAGTTCCTCCATGTCAGTGGATTATTCCACTGATTATATCAAGACTTTCATGAGCTAATCATTGCACCTCCTAACATTTTTTGTATTGTCTTACACAGAAGATGGAGAAGGACGCCTCATATCTAAACTATAGCAATCAGGAACAAGGGAAGGATGTTCCTCTTAACTGCTTTTCAACATCATACTCAAGTCCCAGCCAATACTATAAGACAATGGAAAATAGTTATGCTAATTAGAAGAATAAAACTTTCCTTGTTTGCAGTTGACATCATCTATGCAGAAAATCCCAAATAATTCTATAAATGATTATTGTAAATCTGAAATACAAAAGGATAATGTGCAGATATCAGTTACTTTTCCCATATGCCAACAATGTACAAGTGAAAGTTGAATTAAAACACTGTAGCACTTACTCTAGTACTCTCCAAAATGGAATGCTTATGTATAACCCTAATAAAATATGTACAAGACCTCTATGAGGGCAATTACAATGCTATGTGAAAACACATCTCCTGCTCATGCACATTGTCAAGGTAAGTTATCCCAGGATTGATCTTTTCTACAATCAAAATCTTATGACCTTATTTTATGATGTTGACAAACTAATTATGAAGTTTACATTCTGAGGCAAAGATACCAAAGGGGTAGCACCATGCCAGGTTGTGTTTTTTGAAGAAAAAAAATTGGACAGTGAACACTCCCTGAGATCAAGATTTGCCACAAAGCTATGTAATCAAGACATACAGTGTTGGTGAAAGAGAATAGAAGGTGAGCTCAGAGGAGACAAATATATTGCCCATTTTAGAAGACAGGTTGACAGTTTCTCATGTACTAAAATGTTCTTACCATGCAATCAAGCAATTGGGCTCCCTGGTATTC